ATCAAAGCAAATCTCTGTCGGACAATCAAGGAATTGTCAAACAGTCTTAAAGCGACACTTACACGATCATTCGTGAATGAAAGTCACAAGAATGATAAAAGATTGCTCGGAATCGCTTTGATCATGAAGACCCCTACACGTTCAATCATTAATGAACGTTTCAGCTCAGTTGACATTAAGATAACATGGATCTGGTGCAATGTCCACTTATAATAATCTGTTTAATTTAAAAAGCTTATTTGGACATTGTCCTTTATAGTATTGGACATCAAAAGAAAAATGGAGATATAATAATTACTTCCTAGTGCCTGAAATTTGGACCAAATTTAGAAAAATATAAGTCAACTACTTACAAAAATTTAGGAAAAGTATTGCAAAAATAATCAATTTGTTAAGAAAAATGGAAAAATTGGACAAATAAACACAACAGTTAAACTTTTTTTTTCTATAAAGAAATTGTGAAGTTTTCACTTTTTTTTTCATTTATTGCCCACTTGACTTGTTTAAAGACAAAATAGTCGAAAATGGTTTATAAAACTAGGGATATAAAAACTATTTACTTTTATGAAATTATTTACTTAAAAATCAGGAATGTACAATGGTTGTGAGACCTAGGTAAACCAACCTATCTAGTAGTAAGGTTAGTCTCATACAAAATCGTTTTGACAAAAGTTAGTAAAATATAAGTCTACTACTTACAAAAATTAAGGAAAGGTATTGCGAAAAGAATAAATTTGTTGAGGAAAATGGTAAAAGAACTGACAAATAAACACAACAGTTAAAGATTAATTTTTTTCTTTAAGTAAATTGTGAAGTTTCCACTTTTTTTTTTTTATTTGTTGCCCACGTGACTATTTAAAAAAAAAAAGTTGAAAATGGTTTATAAAGTAGTCTCCCCACCACTTTTACGTCAGTCTCCCTTCCACTTCTCGTGAATGAACCATTGATTGCCGGAAACCTGCCAGACACGTCCATCAATTCTTCATTCACTACCTTACACGATCATATGTCATTAGTGCCTCGGAATGCAATTCTGAATGACCGTGTAGGATCCCCTTAACCAATATTGGTCGACCATCCAAGAACGTTGCAACTTATTGCTTCAACGGCAACAATACAGAAGCGTTTTTGGATCACTTGATCACCCGACATGAAAAATGGGTCCTGTATAATTATCCAAAACGCAAAAGGCAGTGACTCTCAAAAAGAATCGTCACTAAGTATTGCTAAGGCAGCTTTTGTGTGTTTTGTGGAGTATTCCCGGCGTTGCTCATTTTCATTCAAGTGCTGAAAACTGGACAAACTGTGAAAGTGTGAAACTGTGACAAACTGCAGGCCTTTATTATGAAGAATTAGATCGTGAAAAGAATCAATTTTAAATTGAAAACTGACCAGCGATTGTTAATAGAAAAGGCATTATTCTGCAACACAGAAATGCAAGATTTTACTGTGTAACATAAACCCTGGAAATAATTAATGAACTTTGGTGTGAGGAACTTCCTCATCCACCATACTCGCCCCAATGTTATACCATTGGATTCCCATTTGTTCGGGTTGTTTCAACACTTTTTAAGTGACAAAAATTTTGCAAATTTGAATGATGTCCAAAATGCCATCTCAATATATTTTTCTCAAAAATCAACTGATTTTTATCGACCCTGCATTGAAAATTTGCACACTAGATGGTAAAAAGTTGTTTATAATTAGTGTTCCCCAAATGCGAAAAGAAGATGAGTCTTGGTCTTGTGGACTCAGTCTTGGTCTTGGGCAAGAGTCCCGCAATAGTTTTGCAGTTGCCTATTAGCTTATTTATGTAGAGATTTTACTGTAATGTTGCAGATAACGGAAACCTAACTAAGCCCGAATGAAAAATTGGAAAATTTAAATGTAAAAGTGTATTGGTTATACCAATTCTTACATACATACTTGTCAATTATTAATAACTATTTTGTAGTCATTTTTATTCACTAAACAAATCTTTTCTTTAACAGTGTTGGTCGTGCAACAATTAGGCAGTCCAGGTCTCAATCTTGCAAATTGCAAGTGCGATTTTTTGTAACTCTTTTGATAATGAGGAAGATTTCATCAATTATTAAAAATAAAAACTCATGTAAAAAATAGATAAATTTGTAAACATAAAAAAGAATGTTAGAATGGTGGGGGAAAAATCAATATTTCTAATTACTAAAACTATCTAATTATTAAGATTTAGATTTTCTTTTGTATTTATTGCCTTATAAATTGAGCCCTTAGTAGTTGACCACTATATCCTCAGAAAGCGTTTTGTTTTGAGATGTTTTTATTTAGCTAATGGCTTTGAATCTATTTTTATATAATGATAATGATTTTTAAAAATGTTATAGTGTATTCATTTTAAAAAAGAAACAAAAAAAACTTAAAGATATTGTAATCTTAATATCTATAGCAGTTGTGAAAAATAAGTGTTATGTACAAATGAGTGCGTACAATTATGACAGTTTTAAAATTAAAAATGGTAAATTTTAACTGAATTATAAATCTTCATGTTGTTTATAATTTTCTCAATATTAATGAATTAAGACACATGTTTTTTTATTTTTATTATTTTTACTGACACATGTATTGGAGTATTAATTTCTTCCATTATAATCATCATCAATTATATTCATTATGATAACAATGAGGTCATTATAAAAAAAAAACTTTAAATATATTTTTCAGTCATTTATTTCTTAAAAACAATATAAATTTATAAATGAACTAGAATATAGTCAGCCTTTTCCTAATAAAATTTATTATCACATGAAACCTTATAATAATAACATAAGCATAGGAAAAGACTAAAATTTTGGTTAGTATTAATCACAATATATAGTTTACTTAAGGTAAGGAAAAAAAATAACATAGTTAAAAACAAATGAAAAGAGATCACTAAAGTCTTATAAAACTAGATTCACTAATTATGGCATTAAACTACAACAAACATTTGATTCTAATCCAATATTTTGATTATACATCGCAAATGAGATCAATTTATTAAATACTTATTCTAACATTTTTACAAAAAAAAAAAAAAAAGGTATATATTAGAAATAGTGTTTTACATAAATTAGTGAAATCTCTATATTGGTATCGAATTATGAGATATTAAATTATGAATTATTAAATATGCTTGGAATCATGTGGATAAAATGAACTATTTTTTTTTTAAAAAGACATACCTCTTGTCAATTACAATATCTGACATTCTAACTTTTACTTTTTATAATTAACACTATTTATAAAAATCTACAAATATTTATGTAAAAGAAAATATCATTCTTTTTCATAATTTTATGGATAATTAACATTTATAAATTTTTCTTTGTCAAATTAGTGATAATTATATCAACTATTAAAAGTATGAAATTAAAAACGAATAAATAAATGATTTTTTGATATCAGAGTTAGCCGAAAAAACTTATAAATAATGTTATAAATAAACACAAAATAAAATATTTTCATAATCATTTTAAGAAAAATAATACAAAAAAAAAAAAAATCAACTTTCTTATTAAAAATAGCAAGCATCCATTTGATGGTAAACTCTTTTCGTGAATTGCACAAAACAAAATAAAAAATTTGTAATAATAACATATGAAACAACTTACTTTATATATACATAAATAAAGGTATGATAAAGTTCATTAAAGCTTAACAAACAACTATACAAAATTATAACGAAACAAATATAAAATTAATCAATAGTATTAAGAAGATGGTATAGCTTCCTTGTCATTAGTGGATTCCAATTCTTTTAGCTCTGCATCCAAAACTAAATTGGCTATTGCCTTTTTCAACATAATCTGGTTCGAAGGTCTCATTCGTTTAACTGAAGAAGCTAAACTTAAAAAGAAATAGTCCTCACTGTCATAGCTGTGGCATGGGTTCAACGTCTGAAATATAAAGTTTTTTACAAAAATAGTTATTTTATATTTAGGAAAGTCATTATGAATTTGCACAGATATAGATTAAAAAAAAAAAGAACACAGAACTTAATCAATTATTTTTTGCTTAAAACAATAATTGAATCTAAACATGTGTTATATATATATATGGTTCCTAATCAACCATATATATATATATATATATATATATATATATTGATATATTAATAATTTTTTAAGAAATTGAATTTCGCAACAAAACTCCAAGGCTCTTATCTATATCCAGTAGTGATTAAGAAGAATCCTGTAATTTGAGTTACTGTTTCAAAATGATAATTCTTGATTAAATTATCTATATGGCTAATAAAACACAATTTTCCACAAATTTGGTTGGTCCATTATTGGTTTATTGGATTTAATTTAGAAAAACATATACAGAATCAATATCTTAAAATGGTATTAGTTTTTTTTATTTAAATCAATAATAATATCCAGTAAACACTATGCTAAAATGACTGTGAGAAACTAGAGTACATATAAACTAAATAATAATGGAGTTTAGTTTCCAAGTATTCTGTTTTTATTAGATAAACAAAATCGACAGCTCCTAATAGAAAATGTATGCTAAAAATTGTTTATTTCATATAATTGTATTGTAAGTGAATTATAAATTGATCATAAATTAATTGTAGTCAGATGTATGGTAATATTAATTAGCGCTACTGTTTAATATGCTGAAAATGGTGGAATATATTGGTTGAATTTCTGCATACAGTCGTATCTTAATCAACTTTATCGATACATTTAAAAAACTTATTTTTGCCAACTTTAAAGAAATTTTTTTTATTATTAATTCTATTTGTTTATATTTTATCAATACTGAAATAAAAAAAATACATTACAGTTTGCTTTTATTGTGAAAAAAAAAGTTCTTATTATTTAAATTCATTACTTTTAGATACAAAATACTATTTAAGAAATGAATTTGGCATTGATATTCATATCTGATAACACAATTCTTATATTTCTACTTTGCTATAAGTCAAAATAAGAGATGCGTAACTTTTATCTAATTATTATTTATTTGGTTTCCAGGATAGCCCCCTTACAATTAGCCTCATAGCTGACAAATAATTTATAAAGTATTTCTAATTGTGGTTAAATGGATGACTGTTGTGAACAATGAAGAGAAGAATAGTTGGGGTGATCAGTCAAATAAGAAGGCAAAAATAAATGATATATTTATTTTGACATTTGCCGACGTTTCGACCTGAAGTTCAGGCCATCGTCAGGGCTAAGAAAAGTACCAGATAATAAGGTATGAGAAACAAAAGTAGTGTAGGTAAAAAAATTAAAGTAAAATGCAGTTGTTAGAATAATGACAATAGTAAGAACTAAGAGATAAATAATAATAAGCGGTACAAAGTGTGGAAAGATGAAGTAAACATAATCAAAAAGGGTGACATAAGTATTAAAATGGGAATCTTAGAATAAACGTAAAACAGAAAAAAAGAAATATGAAGTTATATAAGAAATGGAAATAAATAGTAAAATTAAAATATTGCGATCTTAATCAAATAATATCTTATTTGACTGATCACTCCAACTATTCTTCTCTTCATTATAAAGTATTTCATTTGAATGAATAATTACAAAACAAAAGAATCAAAATTCTACCTAAAAATTATTTTAAAAAAAAGGAATATATCTTTTCACATACATATTCTTTTATACATAATCTCATAATAATATAACTGAAAATAATTTAAATCTAAGTTCTAACTTTTTACGTAACCCACATTGAATCTTTCCTAGTATAGTAGGTGTTATAATATAAAATCTGTACCGCTACAAACCATGAAGGATCTTGGGTTCAGTACTATTTAGGGAAAGTACTGTTTCTTAGTCAACGGTTGTGCGAGGAGGTGATTCGACTGAGATCACGCTCAGCCGCTAGGTTTTCTCCCTTAATTATTATTAAATCCCTTAATTATTAATTATTTTATTTAGGGTGCCCACTTTATAGAGACTGGGTATGCCCCAAGAGGATCTCCTGACCCCACGATAGCCCCACAGCTGATAAAAATATATAAATAATTTGTCTTCTATGAGCCGGGATTCAAACCTGGACCTTGATCACTGGAAGATCAGTACCCTACCACTGAGCTACCCCACTCCCTGCTATAATATCGGATGAGTGAACAATTTTCCTCACGATTGTCTATTTCTTATTCCGACTTCTAAGCATAATTAACCACAATTAAATTACCACCAGCAAACTCAACAGTCACAAGTTATAAGATTAGGTTCAATTGTAAAAATTGTAAATATATATTTACTATCGCATCAATTGTCCTACAAAACCATCTTCATGATCTTGAAAAGTGGTTTGAAAACTGGAGAATCAAAATTAATAGTACAAAATCCACCCACATTAGTTTCTTAGGAAAGCCTCATGTCCACCCACAACGATTGCCAATAATCCAGTGCCTTCAAAGAACTATGTACGGTACCTTGGACTCTACTTAGACAAAAGACTTACTTGGAACATACATACGAAATTAAAAAGACAAGAACTTACCAGACGATATAGCCAACTTTCACATCTTCTGGACTACAGATCTTCACTTAACTTACGAAACAAGCGACTTATCTACAACACCTTACTGAGACCAATATGGACATATGGAGCAGAACTTTGGGGTTCAGCAAAACAAACACACATAAACAAAATACAAACAGCACAATCAAAAATTTTACGAAAAATTATTAACGCACCTTGGTACATTTCAAACACTACTATACAATAACAACTTAAACACCCCAACAGGAAAAACCTACATCTACGACAAATACACTACATTTCATTCTTCAACTCAAAACCACTCCAATCCTCTGGTTCTTTCTATCTCCTGCTCCCTGTTACCTGAACAACGAAGATTAAGAAGAAAATGGCCAAGAGACCTACTACATCAATAAAAACATCAACATAAAAAAAAATCAAGCAATTACACCAAGACAATAAAAATACGACACAAATATTGGTACGACACAACTAAACCGACCACCACCGATCTATTAAAATTGGTCGTGTGTAATTTTTATTTATGATGAAGGGAAAAGATTGTGGAATCGATTAATTAATCAAAAAGAGTTGTAATCTCTCCACTTCTTTAAATTCTGCTGAGTTTATCGCTGGTAAAATAACCAAAATAACATTGGACATTGAGTCACCTACAACCGTGTAAAATTAGAACTTGGTCTGAATATTGTGGTGGGCAGGGAGAAATTTTTTTCATGATTTACGGCTAATCCGTTTTGTTGATCCTAAAAATGTACACTAAAACATTTGTTAGGCTCGGGATGTTGAATCGAATGACACCTTCAATTGGAAGATCGGACAATGTTGAAAAATCAGTGTGTTTTGCCCGTTTTATGCAACAACGCGTTACAGATGTTCGGTATTCCGGATTTTTTCCGTTGAGTTGAGATCATTTTTTCTATTAGTTGAGTAGTACAACTTTTAAATGTCGCTCGTGATAGGGTAGGTTGGGATGGGAATCGAAATAAGTAACTACCTAACCGGGAACTCTAGACAAATTACTCAAGAATTCATAACTTTTGTTTTCATTTGAAGCCTATGTTTTAAGTCGAGCAAACCTAAATATAATATCAAAATTTCAAATGTCTACCATTAGCCATTGCCGAGCTTCCCCCTGACAAAATTTCGTCGGACAATGCGAACATCCAGACCGACAAAACATTTTTTAAAAGTGGGTTTGGTGCCTGTAATGTATGAAACCGAAAGATATGATACGGGTTGATTCTATTCAATGCCTTTATTTTATTTATATAGATGATCTTTAACCTATAAACATATTTTTATTATTAATATTTATTATCAACAAACATTAACCGAGATTCATAACTTTGTTTCTACTCAATATTTTGTTTTCATTTAAAGCCTATGTTTTAAGTCAAGCAAACCTTAATATAATGTCAATATTTCAAAAGTCTACAATAAGCCATTGCTGAGGTTACCCCTGACAAAATTTCGTTGCAATGCGGACATACCGATAGACAAAATTTTTTTTTTTTAATTTTTGGAAAGTGGATTTGGTTTATGCAAGGTATGAAACGGAAAGATATCATAAAACGGGTTGATTCTATCCAATGTACAGACAAAACTTTTATTTTATTTATATAGATACTAGTTCAATAACAGCTGAAACACATACCTAAGTATATGCGTGAATAATAATTTATAGGTAAAATTAACTGGAATAGATTTTTTTTTTAACCTGTACCCAGGTAGTAAGGGAAGGTTACTCTACAGGTAACCTACATATTCTAACCAAAGTGGGAACATAAACATTCAATCTATCCGCCACGAAATAAATTTCAACCTGCCTTGGCCGGATTCGAACCAGAGCCGCTAGACTCGAGGTTGTTAAGGCTACCGCATAATAAATATTAATTCCTTTTAATCACCTGATTTAGTAGTTGCTCGGAGTTTTCCATGAAGTGCACCCCGGGAAAAACCGGGCTCCGGAGGTGCTCCTTCCGCTTCCTCTTCTTGGGTTTGTTCTGCTCGTTGTTCTTCGATGGCGAATCTTCCATCACGATCTCCACGTGTTGGAGGACGTCCACTTTCGGATCATCTTCTTCACTATAGTTCTTTGTAATGTCCACTCTCTGTTGAAAATTTATGGATAAGTGTTATGTAGAATTTCGGTGTCGATCATTAAGCAAATGGTTACAAGTATATTTAAAAAATGAATTAATAAAATTAAATGCAAGCCTGATTTGGAAATTTGACAATATTCTTCGTAGTTAAGAGATATACCTATTCTGTCCACCTACTACTCCCTTAAGGTCCTAAACATAGAAGGCGATACGTCGACAGGAATATTATATCTCCGATACATACCGCATTCCGTGTGTAAAAGTCTTAATGGTGGCCAACTACAACTTCCGAACAAATTATAATTGGGCTTTGAAGATGAAGGGATACAAGTTAGGCGAATTTTATTCGAACAACAAATAAAAAAGTGTCATGTTTTAAGTAACGGTTAATTATTGATGATTCGTTTAAAAATTAACTTCATTCATTATTCAATAACAAATATATAATTATAATATAACTAATGATGTAGAGATGGTTGACCGTTGATATAATATGAGAAGGAGTTAATCGGGAGGGGGGGGGAGGGAGGGTGCGGTCAAATAAATACTACATTAAAATATATTAATTATTTCAATTTTTGTCGACGTTTCGACCCACTTTGCAGGTCTTCTTCAGGGCTACAAAAGAGACAAAACATGTTGAAAATAAAAAATAAATATAAGTAGATATAAAATAAGAAGAAGTTGTCAGATACAGAAATAATAGATGAGATACATTGTCACCCACTATATCTCTGATATCATCTTTTTATTTCTGTATCTGACAACTTCTTCTTATTTTATACATACTTATATTTATTTTTTATTTTCAACATGTTTTGTATCTTTTGTAGCCCTGAAGACGCCTGCAAAGTGGGTGGAAACGCTGGCAAAAATTAAAATTTAGTATTTATTTGACGGCACTCAAACCCTCCCCACCCCCCGATTAACTCCTTCTCATATAGTATAACTATATTTCATTTTTCCTATGTGATTTTAAAACTATACGTAGCTTTTGAAAACATTACCGATTTTTATTATGTTATAGTTTTAAGATAGTTATGTTCACAGGCGGATCTACGGGGGGAGGGGGCTTTCGGGCTAAAGCTCCTTCCCTCCCTCCCCCCCCCCCAAAAAAAAATAGTAAAATATAACCATGTTTTATCGGCAATTTTTTTAAAAACTATTATTGTTCGTGTAATTACATTTAATATTACTTAGAATACTATTGGCCTAAAAGTTTAAAACAATAAATAAAATTGATAAAATAAACTTATGTGAATAAACCTTAGGTGAACAAGCTATATACAATAAAGATAAAACTACGTGCAAAACATTTAAAACTATGAAAAAAACACTTAAAACTATGAACAAATCACTTAAAACTTGCTACGCAATACATATATAGTGTTAATAGTTAGCTAGTATCTGACTGTTTTTGGAACAGAAATTGGAATAGGAGGTTTTTGAATACGGAGGGGGTATGCCGAATTTTGATCGGGAGGGAATTCCAAAAGTTGACAGAGCGGGCTATAAAGAAGTTTTGGAATGAGGCAGATCTATGAGAAGGGATGTATAGGTCAGAAGGTCGAGATCTTGGGGGCGGGGTGGCCGAATAGGCTAAAGCGTGTGTAACAGCACCGCTAGTTGCCTGGCAACCGGATAACAGAGATTTGAGATGATATAAAAAGTACGAGTTCGCGTCCCGGTGCCGGAGGGGATTTTAAATTTCCCCACCCTCACCCCCCGGGGCCCGGGAAAATCCCGTATAGCCTAAAAGGCGAGGTAGGGAAGAACAAGAACAAAAAAAAAAAAAAAAAAAAAGGTCGAGATCTAGTGTTGAGGGAATGGATTGAGGTCTTAAATATATAAAAAAAAATCCTTGGGGCTGAAGCCCTTCTAAAAATTAAATCCTGGATCCGCTAGTAGTTAGGTTCACCATTTGGGTAACGAAAGCATATGGCTTAAAAATAATGTAATATAAAAAGCGCTATCGATAATATAATTATGGATCCTCGTTCATAACATGGATTATGGATGGCAATATATAAAAACCAATAGTATTTTCATAAAAAAGTACCTTCGGTGAATAAATGATTAATCTCAATATTGGAAATAATCTCGATATGACAATGGTCATTTTCCATCTTTGAAAATGAATGAAAAAATAATTTTATTCTTGGACTGAAGTCCCCTAAAAATGATAATACGGTACAAAACACTGGATGATTAACCTGGCTTGACAAAATACAAAGAGGTTCTTGTCATTTGAATGTTAATTTCAATTGCTATTGCAATTATACTTGAACAATACAGTAAGCACTAGAACATTGTATGTGGTTTACATGTATACAAAGGGAAAAACGCTGCAAATTATTTCACAATGGTTTATTATTTCCCAAC